AGTTTATATATATWTTTTTGCAAACAAACTGAATTCTTGTTTGCTGTCCACAACAAAGGTACGTCATTTACAGATTTCACAGCTTGTTCGACACTCGTATCGACCACTGAGCGACTTTACGGTAATTTAAATGGTGGAGTGRCTCCTTCACATTTTCAAAGTATGCTTAGATGCTTTGGATGACGTACACTTCATTTAATATTCAGGCCCAGCTGAAGAGACCTGGAGAGAACATATGTCAAGACAGAGATTGATTGTGTGTGTGTGTGTGTGTGTGCGTGTGTGTGTGTGTGTGTGTGTTAGAGAGAGGAGACAGACAGGTTGGAATAGAGGCATGAGGGCGACAGAAAATAGACAACGAGTGTGTTTATGTGTGTGAAAGGTGGTGGTGGGGGGTAGTGTGTGAGACAGAAGTGTGCTCAAATAGCTGTGGGCAAGGTGACAGAGAGAAAYGAGTGGACAGTGAGGGACAACGAGCTCACGGAGGGGAGGTGCGTGACAGGAGAAGGAAGACATGGAAGGTTGAGAGGAGGAGGACAAGTCCAGGAAACAAACATAAAAACAGCAAMAAAAAAAAAGAAAAAAAAAGCAGGTGTTCTGTTGGGTTTAACTCATGTGGGTCATGACGGTTTGTGTCTCCGAGCATCCATTAGTGCGTTTTTGTGTGAGGTACACACACACACACACGCACATACACGTGTGTGAAGTGGGTCTACTGGAGCGCGTTTAAGTGTGTGTACGGTCAGAGGTTGGAGAAGCAGTTTTTCTAGTCGGTGGGACTCTCGTGTTCACCCACGCACACACCAACAGCTGCCCCTCGTGTCATACATGCACACTTAATGCACCACGTGTGGCACTAAATTATGCATGGATACACACATCCCTTTCTTTTGATCTCTCGTGATAACACACACGCACGCAGAGGAGCGAGCTATTATGCTCTCAGGCTGGAGTGTTTGGATGGTATAATTGCAGTGACCAGTGAGGAGAAAGAGACGGAGGGAGGGATGGAAAGAGGGATGATGRAGGGAGGGAGAGAAAAGAGAGAAGAGTGCTGACACTCTCAGCATGTTAATGTTAACGACTGCTGCACCTCCCTGCCTGGTTCTCCTCCTCTCCATCTCACATCCTCTGCATTTCACAGGTGGAGATGGAAAAAAAAAGAGGGAGATATATAACAGGATGGAGCAATGTTATCTTTCCCCGTCATCCCTCCATCCACCTCAAGCGCCTCACAACRGTTGAAACAAAGCACTGGAGAGGATGAGGGAGGTTCTTCAACAATAGAAGGATCATCTCCGCTTATCCTCTAATCTCATCCCTTCTTTTTTCTCCCCTCCATCCTCTGTTATCTCTTGGTCACCCCTTCATTCTCTCATCTGGTTGGAGAAAAAAAAAAGGGGAGCCTGCTCCTCTTGCAGGCCTCCATTTTTTTTGTCACCTCTCCATCTGTTTTCAGACCTTCGCTCATCCCCCCGTCTCTCTGGAGAAGGGATTGGGCTGTTTGGCTGTGGTTATTTTCTCTTATCCACATCCTGCTCTTTGTTTCCCAACTAACCGCTACCCGTCTGTGTTAAAGCTAAAATAATTCAGATTCTTGTTTTGGGCAGCTCGGTGGATTATGACTTAGTGCTGCTCCCTCAAAGAAAGAAGGTTCTGGGTTGAGCCTGGGGTTAATCTGTGTTCTCCTTGGGTTTTCTACTAACAAAATGTGTATTTTTTTAAAAAAAAAAGAAGACAAAACATGCGCTTTTCTATCATTTACCTCATTTTTAGTTCAGGCAGTTCATGGATGTTTTCAGAGAAAAGTTTTTTTTTATTTTGTTTTTAAGACATAAAATGCCTTTTTATCTCCAATATTGTGTTGACACATAACAGACAAATAACCCATTATGAATGCCATATTTCTCTGGAAACTGGTGGAAATTCAGATTACCTTTCTGGCAGCTGACTAGCAGAGCTCAGTTTTATAGCAGCTAAATCGCTCGAAGTTTGGCTCAAAACTAGTCAAACTTAYAATTAACATTCTAGCAGCTAGAAACTTTGGCTAAAAACTAGYAAAAGTTCTCGCTAGCTAGCAGCAAATTAGCCAGAACTTTGGAGAAAAACTAGTGAAAATTGATGCTAGGTCGGTAGCATTAAGCTTCCTAAAATGTAGTCGGTCTTAACTGGCTTTCTAGCAGCTAGCTAGCTAGAACTTATGCTAACACTGATAGCTTCAAGCTAGCAAGAACTTTAAATTAAAACTAGTGAAAATTTAACTAAATTGTTAACAGGTAGCCAGCTAAAACTTTGGTTAAACTCTTGAAAAAATTCTCATTAGCTAGCTAACTCCATCTCTTTCAGAGATGAGGATGTTCTCATTCTTGATAGAGAGGAACGTTGGTTTGAGAGAGGAGTAAAAGAAGCCATTTTTGTGAAGAAAGACCGTCCAGGAGGACTGCGACCAGTTATACATTGGGGAAACAAAGCAACCACTGTTCAAAAGAATGTCCCAACAC